CGAAAGGTAAAGTCAGTTAATGCAATGTCATAATGTAGAGTCTGTGAGATGTCAGTATGTAATTAGAGTGAGATGATACACTACCTCACACTGTGAAAGCCAAAGAGTTTTTTTGGATCCTACTAAAAACAAGAAAGAGTCCAATAAATGTCTCTTACCATTATGTTAAAAAGAATCAGAGTGTACACTGCCCTCTAACCCTGAAAGAGGTTAACTCTTTAATATGTTAACCCCTATATAGGCTAGAATATACTAAGTATACTGGCCCATTAAAATGCCATGTAAGATATTAACACCATAATATATTAATATCCTCAATAATAGTAGGGCCAGCAGATGTCCAGTTTTGTGGTCTTTTTTTTAATTGCCCTATTGTGGTTAAACCTATTAATAAACACGGGGCTGGGAGATTCCTGATCTCTTGGCCAATATTTGAGACCCATAAACAGTTAATTCCATTATACTTTTATATTGTCTAGTTGGCAAGGGGTCTACAAGCTCCAGCCTGCCAATATCACTGCTCTTACTGAGAACTTGATAACAAAATCTGCACCGACCCATGCTACCAGTCCGGCTGGAAAGGTGAAGATGTACTAGTAGCATGAGGTGAGGCAGATACAATCAGCTCCTTCACTCTGTGATTGGTTCTCAACAGAGTCCATACAGATGTTTAAACTGAAATTGGATAAATACTTGCAAAAACATAACATACAGGGATATAATTTCTAATTAGTGGGGTAATAGCTGCTTGATCAAAGGAGACCTCTGACTGCTATTTTGGGGTCAAGAAGGAATTTTTTCCTAGTTTGTTGCAAAATTGGAAGCGCTTCAGACTAGGTTTTTTTGCCTTCTTTTGGATCAACAGCAAAAACATATGCGAGGAAGGCTGAACTTGATATACGCAAGTCTCTTTTAAGCTAAGTAACTATGTAACTATGTAACATTAAAATGAATAACCATAGAACTCTGACTGAAAATTGAAATATAAATGCCTTTCCCACTTTGAAAGCTTAGTCTGCACAATTTGGATAGTGTTGATAGTTTTTTTTAATTTTATTTAGTAATAACAGGGTATGATGGGGGTTATTTTAGGACACCTTGATGGCCAAAAAAAAAGATTGAAGAAAGAACAGATAACTCATAAAAACATTAGCATAGCACTATATATCAGTTTAAAGGTATATTAGGATGGTGGTTGAATATGCATGAGAAATATAAAATGAAAATTTTTACCAATTTAACACATGACTTTGACTCTGGTTGGTGACTGACATGTGATCCATAATTTACTGTGACTCTGATAAATTGATGATTTATAATACTAGGGGAGCAGTTGGGTTTGTCTAGTTGCTATCTATACATCTCACTAAAGCTATCAGAGTTTGACATAGCAAATATCTGTAATCCAGATCTATGTCTACAAGGATATTCACTACACCTCATTGACCAGGCCAATGAGAGGTAAAAGCAATCGTATGGGATTCCTTGCTTTCTAGTGCTCAAGAGACCTGCTTGGCTTATCAGATAGGAAATGTCATGGTAATGATCAGTCTGGTAGTCTCAGGAAAAGCTTTCTCGGGAATAGTACAAATTAGGTAGAGCTTATTGAAATCCTTATCAGTGGGCAATATCCGGTAGAGTAAGCAGTGGTTCATTCCCTGTGAATATTGTTTAAACAGTTTGTTTTTTTGCTTAATGTGTATAAAAGCTAAATTGCAAACCTTGTAAACCAAAGAAGTGATGAGCCTATTGATAACCATAAATGTGTCTTTTTATTTGTATTATATTGTTATTAGAAAGCATGATTATCAATAATTACATACACCTCACATACCTGTCTCTTGCTCTCTCTCCTAAAGGGCAGCACTTTACTCTCTCCTCCAGCTCTGCTTTAATCCCACCTTATTTGATTGCTATTTCCTGTACTAATGTGTTTTATACCCCAACTCCTAGAGACTGTAAACTCGTTTGAGCAGAGTCCTCTTTGTAACCGCGACTGAATCTCTTATTACCACTATAACGTCTTAAAGCATAGAACTTAGTAGGACTAACCATACAGATATCTTAGCCATAATTTTATATAGTTAGTAAGAGATCCTCTATTTAAAATATGTAAATAATTGAGAATACAATATAAAATAAGGATTGTCTTGGAAGCAATAAAGTTTTGTATTTTTAGATATTTATTATATAAAAATATAAATATAGACATATAAATACCATTAAAATAATTTAGCAGAGTTTATAAGATTAAACTAAATGCTTGCAAATATCAATAATAGATTAACATACCCTCCTGAACATGTCATCATGTCAGCCTCTCTGTCATTATAAGATGGAGCAGCATCTGTCTCCAAATCTCTCCTCTGTCGCTTAACATTTAAAAGTACACCTATTTATACCCTAGGTGTCTCCATTTTAGGGTCACCATAGTTCATATATGAAAACATAAAAATACAAGCCCATAACTAAAGGGTGTACACATCATGGAAATTTACCTGACTTAGGACAAGATGGCATCTTAACGTCTGAACATGTTTATCTACTTAGGGTTAACCCAGTATATTATGTACTGAAAGAGTCGTAGCATAGCCTTGAAGCTTGTTTATGCATTATTGTTATTGTAATTCGTCTGGGACAAAATGGTGTAAACATAAATGCACTGAAGGTAAGTAAGAAGTTATTGATTAAAGAAACATGTATGAAAAACAATATGTTCCATTTCTAACACCTTGTCAGTTTGCAATATCTCTTAAAGACAAAGTACACAGTTTGAGGAATACAATATTTGCATTTGCCCATAACATCTTCAACCTATCATCCTGTAAGTTTTCTTGTAATTGTCATATTTGTAGTTAAATCCCCCTGCTCATAATATTGAAAAGCGCTACAGAATCTGTTGGCGCTATATAAATGGTAATAATAATAATAATGTATAACTATAGCTTTATCTTTTAAGTCATTCTGTATGAAGAAAGGACTGTAAAAGGACAACATCATTTTACTTGTGGCCAGTATTATGAAATGTAGCTGATGGTATTAGGAAAAGGATTCCCTGCCGGGGATGGATTAAGAAGAAAGTTAATGGAGCTAAGGCTTCAGACCATTTAGCAAAATGTGCCCAATGCTGCTTTAAGACAGTTTAGCTTGTGGCCCTCTGATGTGCTATTGCATTAATAGAGTCAATGTGGATTCTCACAATAATTGTTTTAAATTACTTAATGATATAAGAAGAGGCTTTTGCAGGAGGGAGTCTATTGGCAAATTAGATTTTTATGTTGATCAGGGGAAGAATCCATTTGACTTTAAGTTTAAGATGGAATTTTATCCTGTGTATGTTGAACTTGAAAATGGTGCATTTATAAAACATATCGACAATAAATAAAAAACTTAGAGTGTATTTGAAAGAGTTTTAATGGATGGATTTACATATTCCTTTCAAATTACAGTTTACCAAACATGCATTTCTATAAATTGAACAATCCGAACAGAAGGTAAGACATAAAGCAATACGGCTTAATGATAGCGCTATACCTACGTACATTTCTTGTGTTTTGAATTTTATGTTGGTGAGGCATAAGTATACATGCATACATATTAACACATTGCGTAAAGGCCAGCAATAGACATTATATTAAACAGAATGCTTATATATAGGAATCAAAGTAAGTATGGTTCTCTCTCCAGCATATCGAAATGACTCATATAGCAAATTCTTGTACCCTGCTAAAAGTATAGAATTTTTAAAAAACAATGGCACATTGAAAATAAAGTAACAAACATGGCAATATGATAAAGAAGTGCATGAGATTCAGGTTCAACTCTATAACAACTGAGTAAAAAAAACTAATGAGTAAAATATATACTATACAGGTATTATCAAGCATCAAAAATGAAAGTTCTGTTACTTTTTTCTGTTGTTCATATACAATATATATATATATATATATGTAATAAGTGGGGGGATGTGATTAACAGCCAAACTGTATGCCAATGAAGTGTTATTGTGTTCTAATACAGGGATTCAAGCCCCCATTCTACCCTTAGGCAATAATGGAGTCCTCTGTGCAGCACATGGCCTTTCACCAGGCAAAATCAGTTGGGTTGTTGATAAACTCCTCCTCCATTCCCTTCCAATGCAATCCCCCTTCCCCCAGGAGACACTCTGGTTCTGTTACATCCTAAGGGACTGACTAAGGGAGGTGTGTCCAGCAGAAGGAGGGGCTAACCTGTTTAAAGCCCTGTGAATAGCACATTCTCTCTCTCTTTTTGAATTACCTCTCTTCACCTTCTCTCTCCTCTCTCCCCTCTCCCCACTGTACACACCCTCTCTCTCTTACTCTCAGCTGCTGATCAATGGAGTGGTAACTGTATCACGTGTCTATGTCTGTTTTACTATGTTAATTTAGCCTACTTTCCATTCAGTCAATGATTAGTTTTAGTAGCAACATATACTAGCCTATTTCAAATGTATATGTATTGTTTATTTGTTTGATTAGCCTTTATTAATAAATATTATTGAATTGCCGAAAGCAAGGAGTGTGGACTCTGACTTTACACTCGGTTTTTAAGTTATTATTTTAAGTTATTATTTTTAGTTATTAATGTTATTATTAATTCCAAGTTTATTCCAACTTGCGAGTTAAACGTTTATTACATTTGGCGAGCCATGTTATTATTTTCTACCACCTTTTAAGCTCACTTGCAAGGGGGGAACAATCCAGTCTTCTCCAGATACATGTGAGCTATAAAAGGGGACAAAATAACCGAACCAATTTTTGTTTTATTTTTTGTGAGCGTTTTCGGCAATACGTCCAGGGCCAGGACGTGCGGGATCCTACAGAGGCAACCAGAGTGAGACGCAGTTTGTAAGCCGGCCATCACTTCTGGAGGATCGGAGATAGCCAGACCAAGGATTCAAAGTGGGGTGCACACCATTTGATTTGCCTGCAGTCTGAAGACACAAATCGTGTAAGTACTTTTAGCTTTATTTTAAGAATGGAAATTGTAGCAGAATATGCAGCGTCTAGCAGTTTTGATCCACTAATGTTTGAAAATGAAAATGAATTTAAGAAAATGCATAGTATGTGGTTACAATGCGAAAAAGAGAATGTGAGAGTAGATAATAAAAAATGGTGTTTGAATAAGGATAAACAGAAAATCCAAAATTGCATGAAATTGTTGCTGTTATTAAGAAATCAATTAAATCGGATACTTCTGGGGCACACTACTGTGGCTTGTATACAAAGTAGTACTCAGAAATATAGTGATTGTCCAACTTGTGGCTTAAATGCAGAATATGTAAATACATTAGAGGATAATTATGAAGCGAGAGGAGAGCTAATTTCATCGCTTAGAACAGGTTTAGCTGCACAAACCCCAGTTGCTGTATGTGGCCATGGGGATATGTGTGCAGAGGAAGAAGAGGCATCTGGTATTGCAGAAAATGAGGACCAAGGGGTAAACAGGGGAAACCTTGTACTGGATGGGTTTGATATTAGTGGTATTCCGGTATTAACCCCCCATATAACTAAACCAACAGCATCACCTTTTAGGGACCCTTTGTCCATTACACCGACTGTTAAAGCAGGGCATCTGCCACCCTGCAGACTGCTAAAATTCTACAGCAGCAAGATAGGGATAAAGTAATGAAACAGCTTGTTAAGTTAAGATCCCTTTTCCCCCCATATGACTGCAAAATAGATGTAATTTCAAACATGTCCAACTTTGAATCTGCAGTCAAACAATATATGCTCTCTCCTAAAGAGGCATGTATTATGCTTAAAATGTGGGCACCAAGCAGCATTGCATGCAGATTAAATTCCCCCATAAATGGGCCCATTAATCGGGATCAAGACTGGTTCAAAGAAGAAAAATGGGGGACAGAAGGAGACAGGCTTAGAGCAATCTCCAAATTGATTACTGGAGAAAGAGATTTAGACAGTCATTCACTCGCTGAAATGAAGGTACACTTACAGGATGATCCTTGGGTTTTTGCATCTAAATTTGAACAAGTGTACAGATTAACCCACCGTATACCACAAGACCAAACCCCTCCTGATTTACTGCAATACCTGATAAAAAAATTCACTTATTTAGATCCCGGAGTGCAAATGATAGCAGAGGAAAAAGACACTCTGGAAGGAGTTCTAACTATTATAGGAAAAGCTAGACAAAATTTAATTAGGAAAGGTGTTACATTACACCACAAGGTGGCAATTATGGCTACTAATGAAGGGAGGCAAGCTCTCCCAGAGATTCCATTCAGAGGTACTTGTTATTATTGCAACAAAAGTGGTCATAGACAAAAAGATTGTAGAAAGGCAAAGATAGATCAAAGGATGACTGAGGGACGGCATGCTTATCCCTTTGGGCCTTTCAAAGAAAGAATAGATCAAAATATATATGAAAAGATTGACCGAAATAAACCCCCGGATAAAACAGGTCAGGGACGCCATTCTCACCCCCTGCCTAAGACCAATCTATACGGTCCTGCGCGGGAGGCTCTGAGAATGATGACTGTACAGGGAACAGTGACTAGCAATTCTAAAATGAATGAAGAGGGTGAAGATCCTCTGATTTCATTTTTGGAATAACTATAACTGGATGGCATGGTTCCTATTTGTAACACATTTATGGACCATGCAGGACGCCCTTAGGTGAATGAAATCATGGCAAAGCAACAGACTAAGAATTGGACTAACACAGGAGCTTCAGTGAGACTTACTGACCTATCACTAAGTCTCCCTTCTGGGGCAAAACAATAACATATGAATTTATTAATGGAATTTTTTTTTACTTAATTGCATAATCCTGGAGGCAAGCTAAACACTTCAAAGGTTGCTCACACAAAAGGTACAATTTTTGGGAGTAGCTATCACAGCTGCCCAATTAAAGAGTGATAGCAATCTTACAAGTCCCCAGACCTTTTAACAAGCAATCCTTGAAGAAGTTTTTTTTGGGGGGGACTTGTAATTTTTTCAAAGGAATTTGGCACACGCCCTATTTGTATCCATAGTGACATTGCTTATGCCACCAGATCAAACTCTCTGTCCCTATGGAATCTTGGGAAACTGGTTGAATGGGGACTAAAGCACCCCTCCAGTCAGCAGTAAACACTCATTCAAATGTACAATTGAATTTGTTAGCAAAGGAGGCTGTCTTAGATGGAGATCAATGGCATTTACATGTAAAAGACCCTGAGGTACAACAAGCATGGGAGGAGCACTTCACATGCAAAGAACTAATTACGGATAGCCAAGATTGTTGATCAAGGTTCAGAAGTGCCAGATTTAAAAGCAGAACTGAATAGGAATTCTAATCTTTCTCTTTTATTACAGAACCATCAAAAACTTCAAAGTGGTCATTCTATAAAAGAAGGGTTATTATGTTAAAGTATATCCATGCCCTAAGCAACAAAGGCCTATGCATCAGAGAGTGCCAGTTGCAGACAGCCCCTGGAAGTCAATACAGAATGATTTCATAGGTGCACTTACACTGTCCAAGGGGGGTCTCATATATGGCCCCAACAAATTGTAAAATTGTATCTACTCCTCAAACTCTGTTTGAGAAAGGGGGGGTAGGCGTAATAAAGATTAAACATTTTATCAAAATTATCCCTGGAATGCAAATTGGGAAGAGCCCTATGTAATCCTATAAGTCAGTCCATGTAGACCAACGTAAATTATATAAAGGGGCTTGTTCCCCAGGTACAGAGTTATCTGCTAAGAACTGATACGCCTTCTTGATCTCTTACAGATTTTTCCAAAAATATCGAGACATGGATGTTACTCAACATGCTAAAACTCACCTGGAAATTGATGGAACAGCTTATCACAGGCCAAAGCAACAACAGCTGTATCTATGCAAATGCAGCTCGATCTACCAAAGACTTAACAGAGGACAGCAGTGACAATCTACAAGTTCCATATGTAGATGTGACATTTAATTTTGGGTGGGCGGTCAAGATTGTTTGGCTAAAGCAACATGATTCTTTCAAGGGATTTTGGAAAAGACAATAAGGGAAATTAAGAACATTGGGAATGTATATGGACTGGTTGAGGAAAATGGGAATGTATATGGACTGGTTGAGGAAAATGGGAATGAATATGGACTGGTTGGGGAAAATGGGAATGAATATGGACTGGTTGGAAAATTGGTTGTAGATCTGGAGGGAGGAAATATTAATATGAAATGAAATGTTATGAAATGTTACTAACCCTAGTTATAATGTTAACAGCAATCTTAGAGAGTATCATATAACACAAATTATAGTGGATACATTAATCATAAAGGGGATAAATTGGGGAACAGTAGGACACAATAAGGGTGGGGAAGTGAAGGTCTTGTTGAATGTAGAGGAAGAGATAAAGCCTATAATCCTGACTCCTCCTTTCACCTATATTCACACAACTCCTTCACTAATGGATAATGGGAGCAGACCTGAGTGTCAGAGGATTAGAGTGGTCTCTAGTGGTAATTTCCAAATATGTTCACTGAGACCTACCCCTATAGTTAGGAATGTTACTTTCCAATTGATTCGACTAACAGATTGGCTAGTTTCATCACACTTTCAGAACTGTTCTAGGGTCACATCCACTATTAATAAGGTTTTAGTCAGATGGGTGACAAGAAGTAGAACTAGGAATAGGAGGGTTGTCTTGGGTACGGTTCTGGGAGGTGTGGGTACTGGGTTGGGTTTTGTAAATATAATTGATATATAGTATGACTGCAACACTCCAGTCTGAGGGTGTTAAATTCAGAGAACTATCAATACTTTAATGGAGGATTGGACACAGAAGGATCAACAAACCTGTGCTGAGTTCTTTCATCAACAACAAGAACTTTAAGTAACTGAACATTTAGTAGTACTGACATGGCTAGTACTACCTGGTGGAAGAAATAAAAAAAAAAACAACTCACTTCCGAAACCAATCATCATGGGGTACTGCCGTGGAAAAATGTATTGTTAATTCACCCATTTATTATTGTATTGTGTGTTTTCTGTAGTATGCATTTTTAATCAGGTTGGTATGTGTTGTTACTTGAAGTCATTGATTGCCACAGTATATCATCTCCAATATGATATGTAAATGGAAAGAGCTCTATTGTGACAATGGGTTGTGCATTCACATAAGTAGATACACTGCAGGATGCATTATCTCTCTCTCTTATCTCTGGTGGGTTTTATAGAGTCTAAGTGTCTCATCCACTTCATTGCCAATAGGAGGGATGTAATAAGTGGGGGGATGTGATTAACAGCCAAACTGTATGCCAATGAAGTGTTATTGTGTTCTAATACAGGGATTCAAGCCCCCATTCTACCCTTAGGCAATAATGGAGTCCTCTGTGCAGCACATGGCCTTTCACCAGGCAAAATCAGTTGGGTTGTTGATAAACTCCTCCTCCATTCCCTTCCAATGCAATCCCCCTTCCCCCAGGAGACACTCTGGTTCTGTTACATCCTAAGGGACTGACTAAGGGAGGTGTGTCCAGCAGAAGGAGGGGCTAACCTGTTTAAAGCCCTGTGAATAGCACATTCTCTCTCTCTTTTTGAATTACCTCTCTTCACCTTCTCTCTCCTCTCTCCCCTCTCCCCACTGTACACACCCTCTCTCTCTTACTCTCAGCTGCTGATCAATGGAGTGGTAACTGTATCACGTGTCTATGTCTGTTTTACTATGTTAATTTAGCCTACTTTCCATTCAGTCAATGATTAGTTTTAGTAGCAACATATACTAGCCTATTTCAAATGTATATGTATTGTTTATTTGTTTGATTAGCCTTTATTAATAAATATTATTGAATTGCCGAAAGCAAGGAGTGTGGACTCTGACTTTACACTCGGTTTTTAAGTTATTATTTTAAGTTATTATTTTTAGTTATTAATGTTATTATTAATTCCAAGTTTATTCCAACTTGCGAGTTAAACGTTTATTACAATATATATATACATATATATATATATATATATATATAATTGGTGTAAGGTAACTACAATGTTATAAGGGATTGTAATATATGCTTGTATCATTAAACATTTAGAAGGAATTAAAACATGTCTCATACTGCACACTGCTATACATTTAGACTATATCAAGGCCTATAACACTTGACTGAGTATAAGTGTATATTTGTCTGATCAAATTCCATGGAAAGTGTTTGAGAAAACTACAGCTTTTTGAAAAACAGTTTGTTTCTGGAGATTGTCTCACTTTTATAAGTTAATCTTAAATAATCTGGCATAGAGCTAAAAAATAACTATATCTCTATTTGTACAAACAAAGCCAAAAAGTAT